TGTTTATTTTATGTGACCCCACATTACAACTGAAAAGCAGGCACGTAGCCAGGGTTTTGCTCAGGAAGGGGTCACAGGTCGTGGCCTAGTGTCGTACTCCCTCCAAAAAGATTTACTCCTCGGATTTGGCTTACTATTTTTGGGGGTGTGGTGCAGCCGATCTTATTTATCATTATTTATCAAATTTCATTTCATTTTTCGCCTTCAGGGGGGGGGGGGGCATGGCCAGTAGCGGCGGAACACCTTCAATTAAGGGGGGGCACTGCCGACTTTTGGTCCCATTCTTTCCATGCAATGCCCATAGGGCTAATGTTAAAATGCCAAAATCAAAGGGGGGCACGGTGCCCCGGTGCACTCCCCGTTCCGCCGCCTATGAGCATGGCCACCGTTGCCCCCCTTTGGCTATGTCCCTGCCGAAAAGTCTGGTTACCCTATGGTAATTAACCAGTTTTTTTTTGGGGGGGGGGGTGGGCAATAACTGTTGTTAGAGGCAAGGCAGAGCAGCGAGAGTCGCCCGCTGACAGCTGAGCTGTTCGGACGCGCGGCCACGCCACTCCGCTCGTGAAGCACAGAACGGTCATTGCGAAGGCTGACACTTTAAAGAGGCTAGTTTAATAAGGCCTGCTTATCAAACGACAAACTAGACTAGAAGCTAGGTTTTCACAGAGAGGCTAGCTTCTGAGGTCAGGAAGGTTTTTCCAACAGATTAAAAAAAAAAGTTACGAGGGCTGATCAACCCCTGACCCACACTAGCGGCGAAACACCTTCAGTAAAGGGGGGGGGGGCACTGCCGACTTTTGGTCCCATTCTTTCCATGCAACGCCCATAGGGCTAATGTTAAAACTCCCAAATCAAAGGGGGGTACGATGCTACGTTGCCCCCCCCCCGTTCCGCCGCCTATGCTGACTCAGCGAGGGTTACCTAAGCTCGTGATGTCGGCCGCTATAACACGATTAAATATGAACGGTCGGTCATTTATCAGTGGTTCGAGTAGGTAAATGCATCAAAATCGTCTGAGTTTCGGACATATTCTCATATCGTTGCTTTAATTTCAGCGCCTTTATTTACGCTTTCGTTTTTGTTTGTTTTTTGTTTTGTTGGGTTAGGCCCTTTCGGTCGACAAGACCATTGCAGAGCCGGAAGGATGATAGGAATTAGGGGGAGACATTGGTCTGGACAGGCACCCTAGTGAGTCGCCGGGGCTGAGCCCGTCCAGAGGACAGGCCACTCAGCCCCAAGGCACTCACTGCACCCGGCTACGGGGTGCGCTCCCTCAGGAGCAGCGGTGCCGCTCCAAGGGAGCAGCCCGCATGAGATAAAGTTGCCTGTCCAGCCCGGAGGAGGGTTGCGGCTTGGAGGAGAAGGATTTCAGTATCCTGATAATAGAAGCACGGATAGGTGACGCTTTCGTAAGCTTTCCGTTTTACATAGCTTCTCTGCACGAAGATTCAACCGACGTCCTCTCGCTCCCTCTTCAACGATGCTGGTCTCTTTTGGTAAGAAATTGGCATTTCACTCGATTCCAAAGGTTTCCAGGTTTTTGATATTTTCCCATTGACTTGGTAAGTTTGACATAGGTTCCCCAATCCCCAGTTTCTGCAGTCGACATCACTAGTCTGCAAAGCTGGACCTTACGTGGTGTGTGCTGCCACCTGTGCGCTGGTCTCCGAACTTCTCTGGTGTTACGCTTCTGTTCGGGAACTGCGTCATCCAGCCGGCTGGCTGTCGCCGACCGGCGCGGCGGTATGAGCGGCGGTGCATACTTCAACTGCGAGCGTGCCGGTGAAGGTAATCAGATCCCGACTATTTTTTACGGCTGTTCACACGCTTAGTGAATGTTTTGTAGCTTCCTAGACGGCACTGCCCACTGCACACATCACGACAGGTAGGTCCGGCATCACTGCTGCGGACACAGTGAAAATCACTACGGCGCAGGGTTATCTAATACGTGAACAAGCCGTAAAAACACCTTTTTAAAGTGTTTGTACCTACTGTTTGTTATACTTGTGTCCTTAGGTATGTAGAAAGATCGTAAATCTACCATCATCTTGTAATTTTACCGATCGATTATGTTGTTTACACTATTGTAGATCGATGATCGATGTTGATCGATTGTACATAATGTTTACACTACGACTCGATTATGTTTTGGTAGCTATCCTATCATAACAATGGGCAATTGGTACAACACGTACATAAATAGAAAAACACAATTCTAACGAATAGTGTTTGCCTATTTCAACAACCTGCGGTTATAACTAGCGACATGGGCGTAGGAACGGCTGGAACATTGTGGGTGCATGGGTGCAGAAATCCAGCCATGGGGCCGGTGAACCCGGGGGGGGGGGGGGGAGCGGCTCCCGAGCGGAGGTTCATTGCGAGCTTTGAGGGTGTAGAACTAGAAGGTACAGATAAGTGCATTTGGAAGCATGGATAACGTCAATATTGGACTACCGCATAAAGTAAAAGCGACTTACTTAGTCATTTTTGAAGATATCGGGATAAAACTTTTGGCAGTGGGTCATCAGTAGGTATATGCATTCAATCACATGTGCTCCATTTCTTCGTTTTTAACCTGAGCACAAATGTAAGTTTTGAAGACTATCACTGTAGCAAATGCTTCTAAAAATGGATAGTGGGCAAAATATCCTGAATTTGTCGTGCTGCATGGGAAGGAAGTAGTGTTGAGAAAAGGAGTTTTTGTTCCAGATTATTGTGGGTGCAGATTGTCTGCATCCACTGGAAAATTATTGTGGGTGCAACTGCACCCACTGCACCCATGGTTCCTACACTTATGACTAGCGATTTGTGCCGCTCTTACCACTTCTGCATCTCCAAGCGCTGAAAATGTTCAAATAGAAATAGTCGCCCGACCTCAGTAGGTATGAGTGATGACGAGAGCCACTGGAAAGGTCGCAGAGGCTTTGCTGACACTAATAGGATCGGAAGGACTAGCTGGTGACAATCCTGATCCCTTACCACTAAGGTAAAACCCTCAGAGGTGTTTTCACGGTGCTCTGAAACTGCTTAGCCTAACATTAGTTGAAACATGACGTCATTCCCGTCTGCACATTAAAATGCATGTTTACTGTCCAATGTCCAGGAATCAAGGGGCAAAGACGGAGAGGATCTTCTCTGCATTTGTTATATAATATGGAATACGTAATCACACATACACACACATGTTGTGGAGGACAAATTGCACAATGTAGACGTTGGCAGACCCTGTCCTATAGGTACCTAGAGGATCTTTTTCTGCACTTGTTATATAATATGAAATACGTAAGCACACATACACATTGTGGAGGACAAATTGCACAATGTAGACGTTGGCAGCCCCTATACCTTCCTAAATACATATGTGCGTTAGAAGAAAGCTCCTCAATCACTTCGATCCGGAGTGAATTTGGCCGAGTGTGGGCAAAATTGTGTGAAACCCAAATATTTTAGATTATAAAACCTATCACGTTTTGATGAGAACAAAATCACAATTCTACGCATTTGTCGTATAGCCGGTTCTTCGCAACACGGTTTACCTACTTTTTATTTTTAACCCTCGCATGTGTGCGGCGTTTGCCAGCTTCTAATGTGTAGGGGGGGGGGTCGGTTGGACCCCCCCCTTGCCGTTTGGCCCCTGATCGAGCTAGAGCTTCGCGGAAAAAACGAGCGTGTTGCCCGTGACGAGAGGAAGCCAATGATACCCAATTTTAAGGTCCTAGGTCATTGGTTGACCTTCCAGGTCAGGTCAATGACCCAAAGTCGGGAAAATCGGGACCTGTTAGAAAGTCGTAAAGTGTGGCTGCTAAGGGGTTTTTCGGGGTGCTGATCACGAATATCGTGTTAGTTTTGATCACAGATGATGTCTTGAAGCATTTAGACCAGGTCGGGTCAGGTCAGGTCAGGTCAACCAGTAGGCGTCGTGACGGGTATTCGTAGTACGTGTCAACCGCCTCTGACAGCTTCGTAACATGTTACGAAGTCACCAAAACTACTTCGTAAATGTTCAAATGGTTGCTAAATTCGAATTCAGCTCCAAAAACTAGCCTAGAAACATGTAAAACTCGAAAAAGTGACCCGAGGTCACCCGAGGTCACCAAAGGTCAATGACCTGACCTGACCTTCAGGTGACCTTGACACACACGGGAGTAACATCAAATCACATGTTTGAACGTTTGAAACCACGAAAAGCTTGCAAACACGCGGCTAGTGCGAGCCGACATACGCGAAACCGCGATTCCGACCAAACATGGTCTCGGAAAAGAGGTCACAGGTCAAAGGTCATTTGGGTCAGGGTCATGAAATTTTCAGGGTAGGTGTAAAAGTGATCAATGCGAGGGTACTGAAAGTTTCGTCGCGATCGGCCGCTTTTTACGCGAGTTATTCGCGAAAAACCATGGGGGGTCCATCCGACCCCCCCCCCCTACACATGCGAGGGTTAACAAATAATCTACGCTGCTGATGCTCCATCTTTCATCGTTTATCCTCAGCCTCTCGAAAAGTAGACTTTACCTATACGCATTGAACGAATCATTAGTCAGTTTACAAAACATGCTTAGTACCTACATAAAAACAATAAAATATATTCACAGATATACGCCGTTACCTACACTTGGACAAGATCCGCCGTAATTGGCTGTAATTGCGTCAAACACGTTCCCGACTGCTGTCGTTTGCATCTGCCCCAGCCCAGCTGTCCATTGACGGCTCCCCTTGCCGGCGCGATAAGACTTGTGGCCCACCCGATAGCACGCATTTGTTTCGATGATAGGTAACACCTGGGTAACGGGCTGCTACTTTGTGTGTTATACGATATCGTGCTAAAAAAACTGAATGAGGTTTTCCAGATCTGTTGGACCAGATATAGGACCTGTACTGCTTCTAACGATAGACATAAGCAGAAAACCTTTCAAAGGGTTTCAAATGTTAGGCCTTTTTAAAGGCCTCGAACAGCCTGTCCCATAGCTGAGCTGTCTCTCTTCCGTCCACCCGCAAACTATTGCGACATTATGACCTGTGTATTCCGAACACACGAACAAATATCACACTTCGAGTCACGTACCACACACCCAAGAAAAACAAATACCATTTGACTTTGAGGCGGACAGTGTCAGCAGCATTTGGGGGACCATCTTCAAACTCGACCATCGAAGCAATGTGTTTGGAACTCCGTCTGAGACAGAGTCATAGACATTTCAATTGGCCGGGGAATCGACAATCATTTAAACCAAAACAGCCTGAAGTATGTTTATAAATGTTAGCCGTCAGGCGCCCATTGTAAATGCCATATCGGCCCGGCTGTTTCGTAGCTGACTTTAGAGGGCCTTGGCCTGACTTGCACTTGCGCGTGCGAACTTGTATATCCATTCAGAGCGTATGAGCTTTGTAAATCTAGGCGCAACCGCAGTTGATAGTGATTATCATTTTTTACGGCAACTTTGCGTGCGAATAAAGACCGAAGAAAAATAGTTTTACAGCAATCATGCTATACCTTTCTTTTTTGCGCAATTTCTTTATTTTCTAAATAAAATCAATGAGAAACTCAATGAGAAATTCAATGAGAGTCAATGGACATTGGGCAATATATAACTGCGCTTCTATAGAAGTTTTTTTGAAGTAAAACACGGCCCTGTCACTCACTCCTCATCTTGCCCACTTTGAACCCAGATTGCAACTGTACCGTGATGGTGGCGTAGGCCAGGAGGATCAGTCGGCTGTCCGAGGGCCCCTCCCTTCCCCCTCCCCCACTGACGGCGGACACCCCGGGACCCTCGCCATATCCCTCCCATCCCGCAACACAAACCACGCTGTCTTAGCAAAGCCGTGCACTTCCAACCATCGCTGTCATACAGCCACAATAGCAAATGTGAGACTGTGCACTATCCATTGTGCGATATATGTGCAACTGCACTGCTAACATGGCTGGGGTAATCTATACAAGCACCGTTATATATTCAGCTAGCGATTTCACTATATTCAAAAACAGTCCATGAACAGAGCATCACATCTATTGTATACCCAGGTACGCAATGCCGAATGCAGAATCGCATATACAAACGAGAAGACCGCAGGGCACTGTGGTGCGATAGAGGCGCCGAGCAGGCCTCCAGGCGGTTTATATATGACGTGTATGACCGGCGGTGAGAGGCCGCAGAGTGCGCCAGGCTGACTCCAATCCCCTGTCCAAGGACACACCCTGCACAATGCACACCCCACGCCGGCACCTCTCACACCGTGCACTGACGCGTGCACTTCTTTTGAACTAAAAACAATGTCAACAAATATCTAAGCACGTGCAGCCCGCGCAGTTAGGCTCCATAAGGCCCTGTCGATTCGCTCAGCTAGATCAGGGCATATAATATCACAGATGACACGCCTTTTGGCGAGGTCCGAGGAGCCCGCTCCTCTGTCCTCGCTACCAACCCCATGTCGCTCAGATCAGTGATTGACCTGATCTGACCTGACCTGACCGGAACCGACGAATACATTTACTTTGGAGAACGAGAGTCGGCGTGACCCATCAATCCACCACCGAACGATCTGAAAAAGAAAAGAGAACACCGTGAGACGACTGCGAATGGCTGAAGAAAAATACCCATTGCATAGGTTTGTGCGAAGACACTTGTTCTCACGAGTTGTTCTCTGCTAGTCTGTCATGCCATTCCCACACCGTCTGCCAGGCTGTTCTCTGGGCTCTGACAGCTACAGATGACGGGGCCCTGTAACCCAGTCATCTCTCGTCTGTTTCCAATCATCCCCTCTTTGCCTGTTTTTTTTTCTTCTTCTTGGTTCTTGCTCTTGCCTCTCTCCTATTGCCCGTCTTTGGTCTTTCCCCCTTGGCCGTCTCTTCTCCTTGACTGTACCAGATTGTCCAAAACATCTTTTCTAGATTGTCTCCCGGCCACTCTCCTTTCCTCGACTATACCCGACTGTTACCCTTTGTCATCCCTTGACTGCCCCATGGGTGCCCCCGTCCCCTTGACTGCCCCCTCGTCCTCCCCCATCCCCTCCCTCGCGCCGGCCGCCTTGCGTGCAGCACTAAACATCTCCATCGGTGTGCCGGCGCGCGGCGCGCACACGAGCGCTGCCCGGCTGCCGTGCAAACGAGCAGCTATCGCGTCATCGGCCGACAATAAAACCCGCACGGCGCCACATTGATTAATGACCAGTCGTCAGCAGGCCCGGCGACCCAGTCGGCGGCCGCTGCCGGTACCGCGAGCGGGTGCTGACACCGAGGGGACACCGGGAGCGGGTGCTGACACATAGACGACACAGATATGACACCGGGCTGTCATCGGGAGCGGGTGGTAACAGCGAGACGATATCGGAAGCGGGTGGTGACGGGGATGCATATATGACACTGAGACGACACATATATGAAACCGAGCTGACACCAAAACTGACACAGATAAGTGGCAATAAAGACGGATGCAGCGTTACAATGCCGTAAAAAGACTGGACAAATGTATTACTTTTCGGTTAAAATGCAGCTAAATTCAATGTTGTGCTCTTTTGGAGAGATTGGTCCCATATTCTGCCTTCCTCCCATAGCACATTGAGATACACAAAGGCTGCGCCCTTCTAAGGCTAGGCTACAAAGGCTAGGCTTCGGCTACGTTCTAAGGCGCTCTTCGGGTGCCGGGACGAACGCAGTCAAACCTGGCTGGACGGCTCCGCTTTAGGTCCGAGACAAACATCCAAATCCCACTAAGTAATTGGCCGCGGATTAATTCGTCGTGGGCGTGCCAGCACGTGCCGGAATAAAACCGGAATAACGAGACGGGACGGGGCTGAGACTAGACGGGACTGGGACAGGACGGGACGGGACGGGACGGGACGGGACGGGACGGGACGGGACGGGACGGGACGGGACTGGGACGGGACTTGACTGGGACGGGACTTGACTGGGACGGGACTGGACTGGGACAGGACTGGACGGGACGGGACGGGACCAGACGGGACCAGACGGGGCTGGGACTGGGACAGGACGGGACGGGACGGGACGGGACGGGACGGAACCAGACAAGACGGGACTGGGACAGGACGGGACTGGACTGGGGCAGGACGGGACTGGGACATGACGTGACGGGACTGGGACGGGACCGGACTGGGACAGGACGGGACTGGGACAGGAAAGGACAGGGACAGAACTGGACGGGACTGGGACTGGACGTGACGGGACTGGGACAGGACGGGACTGGGACAGGACGGGACTGGGACAGGACACAGGACAGGACACAGGACGGGACTGGGACAGGACGGGACTGGGACAGTACGGGACTGAGACAGAGTGGGAGCACGGTTTTAAAGTCGACATAAGTTGACCTACCTGTGACCGGTGGGTGTATAAGCAGTGGCGTGAGGTCCAGGTCAGGTCACAGGTCACCAGCACCGCTCATACAGGTGATACGTAACCGGAACTGGTGGCTCCGCCCTGACCGCCGCTGAAACCAGAGGGCAATGGGGTCAGTTCAGCGAAGCGCAAAATCCATCATACATGGATGCTGGATATTTAAGCAACATCAGATACAGGAACAAATCCGCACCCGCACATACCATAGCAGTCAGGGATAGACAAAGACAAAAACATCGATCCAATGCCCAATGACATAGGCGTAGGAACAGGGGGGTCCGGGGGCCATGCCCCCCCCCCCACTTTCGGAGGTGGGGGGGGGCAGCAATGTTAACTGCCCCCCCCCACTTTTTGCTGACTTAAGTGTCTGTCTGTACCTAGGTACCAGTGCTACCACCCGGTAACTTGACAACAATTCAGCTTGCCCTTTAATGAATATTCCCTTTTGTTTCTACAAGTACAGCGTTATTGACCGCAATTTCCTTCACTCAATGAAGGAAACCATATCAGAGACAAGACTGTGGGTCCTGGTGACAGCATTTTGTTGAATACGAGGCACGGGACAGCGAGCACTGAAAAGGTATAAGACAATACTAGCACGGTGCAGGAGAATGCGTATACAAACGACCAACGCTTGACCGGATCTGCTTGGGGTCGGCATAGTTCGTCAAAGGCGTAGGTACTAGCTGGGGGCCATGGTGACCATGTTTGAGTTTGAGCCTCGGCTCAAACAGGCTGGGGGCCAGCAGGCAGCAATGTCTGTATCTGTCCCTTCCCTTCCACTTTCAGTGCAGTAGCGGTCGCAGAGGGGGGATCAGGGCCATGCCCTTCCCCCCTCCAAAGGCTAATCAGGGGGCCATCATATCATTTGCCCCCCCCCCAAACAACCAATGGGCCCCCATGGGCGTATGGGGCTCTGGCCCTTATTCGATTGTCACGAGGCTCAAGAATCCCACGCTAGCTATTAACAGCTCCCAAGCCAGTCTTTGAGGGTCGTACACTGATCTTGGAGGGCACTTCAGTGGCGGTCAAGCGCCGACATTGACCGCTGATAACCCACATTGACCTCATTTGAGGGCCCCTAAACCGGCCTCAAGGGCCCAGTCGGCGTCTGAGGGCCTCACACCGGCCTCTGATGGCCTCATTTCTGTCTCTGGGGTCCCAAGACTAACCTTTAGGTGCCTCTGAGGGTCCTGCACTGAATTCTGATTTCTGAAGACCCGATGCCGGCCTCTAAGGTCCGCATCGGCCTCTGAGGGTCCATCTTGGCCTTAGAGGTCCAACGCCGGCCCATGCCGGTCTTTTAGGGCCCCACACTGACCTCTAAGGGCCCATGCTGGCCTGTAAGGACCCGTCATTAGCCTATGAGGGCATTGTACGGGATTCTGAAGACCTGATGCCGGCCTCTGAGGCCCATCTTTGTTTTTGAGGGTCTTCTGCTGGTCTCTGGGGTCCAACACCGGCCCATGCTGGTATTTTAGGGTCCCACATTGACCTCTAAGGGCCCCGCACTGGATTCTGAAGATCCTATGCCGGTCTCTAAGGGTCCGCATCGGCCTCTGAGGGCCCATTTTGGCCCATGAGGGCCTTCCGCTGGTCTCTAGGTTCCAGGTCCCGCCCATGCCGGTCTGTTACGGCCCAACACTGACCTCTAAGGGCCCATGCTGGCCTGTAAGGACCCGCATTAGCCTCTGAGGGCCTTGCACTGGATTCTGAAGACCCGATGCTGGCCTCTGAGGCCCATCTTGGTTTTTGAGGGCCTTCTGCTGGCCTCTGGGGTCCAACACCGGCCCATGCCGGCATTTTAGGGTCCCACACTGACCTCTGAGGGCCCATGCTGGCCTGTAAGGGCCCACATTAGCCTCTGATGGCCCAAGTCGGCATCTAAATGTCTCATCCTGCCCTTTGCAGGCCCTGTACTGGTCTCTGAGGGCCTCAACCCTCACCGGTCGATGGGGGGGGGGGGGGGCCCGAGTGCCGCCCCTCCATAGTTTTTTTTTCGCGATAGCTCCGAACACGCCGGTGATAGAGAGCTGAAGCTTTGCATACCTGACCTTTGAATCAAGCCGGATCTTTTGACACCAACCGCATTTTCGGGTCAGATCAGGTCACTGACCCATGAGGTCATAAGTGAACCTCTGCACGGTCTTCAGATGTCGCAACTTCGCAACGCCCTCACTGCCAGAGGAGATTTCACAGGGAAATGAACCTTGGAGGACCTAGTACCCATTAGGAGTCTCACAACTTGTACATCTCGGATTTTTCCTAAGGTCATTTTCGTGACCGTCACCTCACCATTAGATATAAGTCAATAGGGATAAACTGAAAACTTTTTCTGGCGCCGTAAGCGATCTTCAACTATCTCAAACACACTGAATCTTTCATGCACTCCTTGCAAGGTTCAATGCGTCACTTTTGCAATGTTGACCTTGCGCGACGTCATTTATGAAGTTATAAGGGTCATATAAGTTTGTCGTCAATAACTACCGATCAAATTGAGCTAGCGAGTCGGGGAAGCCATCAATGGACTCAGGAAGACCTGCCGAATCGAATGATATGCGACATGACCTTCTTCGACCAATTTCGTGACCTGGGGGCGCTGACCTGACCGTGACCCGTGGTCAACACCCTCAGTTTACCTCACCCAAACAAAAAGTACATCATTCGACGCGCCTGAGAGAGGCGAACACGATGCTGGCAAAATCGCGGCTCTGCGGCCGTGTTTTGCGAAGTTATTCACCAAAAACGGAACCGTGCCTTGAGGCACTTGACCTGACCTCAGAGGTCACCGGTTGACCTAGAACCTTAAAATCGGGTATCGACCTCTGCGTCTTGTAACGGCGCACACGCTCCTTTTTCCGCGACGCGCTAGTTCAACCTGGGGCGCAACGGCGAGGGGGGTCGTACCCGCCCCCCGCCCCCTCGGCCGGCGCGTATGTAGAAAACCTATAGGTCCGGTCCAGCGAGGGTTAAACTGGCCTCTGATGGCCCAGACCGACCTCTAAAAGTCCCACACCGGCCTCTGATAGTCAATCAGCCCAGTTGCAGTGGTCGCTGATATAAAACCTCTTAAAAACGTTATAGGTCTGGCTGAGCCTAGCTGGGCCGTTCATGCTGATTTTTATAGGTATATTGAAAAGACTCGCTTTGCACGTTTCACGCTTGCTCGTAATGAAAAAGTTGCTGGATGCCTCTGGAATTTGCATGGGTGCCAACGGCTGCGGAGGACAGGGGAACGCGTCCATCAGTTTGAGTTTATGGACGGGAGTCTCCCTGAAATTTTAACCAATTTTGTTTTTGTTTTTGTCTCGATTTTTTTTTATCTCTGATCATGTTTGCGAAAAAAAATGGCCGAAATCCGAGGAGAAATCGGATTTTGGGGGTAGGTTAGGTTTTGGACCTCTGGGACCTTGCCCCCCCCCCCCACTTTCGAAAACGTTCCTACGCCTATGCCCAATGAAGTTCCGTTTCAACAGAAACATCAGTTAGTAAAACAGAAAGTAAACATAACGAAGTGAAACAAATCAGCAGACCTCTGGAGATCCGTACGAAACAACCATAAACATATTGCATGGACCATATTGCATGAGGGTACGGAACGTAACAGACGGGCTTCAGTCACTCATAAACGTAGGTCGCAGACATTTGCCACTAGCCACATCATTGACGGAGAAGCACAGGTTCCATCTACATATATGTAGATGCCACCTGCCAAATATATTTGGCAGGTGGCAGCCTGGCAGGTCCACATTGGTTCAAAGGTCGACAGCTGATAAAAATTGCAACTACATGCAACTTAGTAACTTCATTCGTCTCAGTGCGGCGGTCAGCGGTCAGAGGTCATTAGTCAGTCAGTGGTCAGTGGCCAGTGTTTGGTCATCAATGACCAGTCCTGCATCCCATTTACACCACCCGCGCTAACTAGCGTTCCATTGCCCCGTGACGGGCCACAGAGCCGCCGGCCGCCGGCGCGGCGGTGACTCACCGCTAAAAAACGGCCCCCTCTGCGGCCGCTAATCAGCTGCGGTAAGCGTCCCACACCCCGCGACCGCCCTGTATAAACACTGGACTGCCGTCGCCGCACTGGTGTGCCCCAGACGATATCGTCGCCACCCCAGAGTGATTTATTGCCCAGCGCGGCGATAATGAAATCAAACGTATATATTTAATGGAATGTCTTGGGTTCAACCCTGCCAGAAGCGTACGGTGTGATTATCAGGAGCGCGTCTTAGAAGGGACAGACCCACAAATAAATATTTCACCAAAAAAAAAATCATTGCTTTTAAGTTTAAGTATTCAATAATTACCCCCACTCAATAACAAAGGAATCTCTTGGGTCGTCCTCATTTCAGTACCCAATCGCTGCTAGCCTTATCATTTCTATGTTCAATGGCGAATGCCCATGCATAACGACGCCCATCAACACTTTCCTCTCTCCTTTTTAACCCACAAATGGTGTTTTCGGTCCCGTGGCACCACAACAGCGCTATCCTTAGCTCCGTTCCCTTTCCACCCCACCTCTGACGTCCTCTGATCTCACGGGTCCATCAGTGAGCGCTCTCAGCCAGCGGACCCTAGCTTAGCAGCCCGGGGCGGATCATTAGGTGTCTCTCCCACTCTGGGACGCGTCAGCAGGTCACTGTAAATCAACGGCCCGAGTGGCCCTTCTATCTCGCCCGATCGCGTCCCGCCGCGCCGGTGACCGGGCGCCAGCAGAGAGCCCGGGCCGTCGCTGACAGTCACACCTGACGCAACCGATGCGCGCATTTGCATAATATCAGTCAGGCCGTATTAGCATACGACCCTGTTTGATTGGTGTGCGGACGTCGGCGCTGCGGTCGGGTTCATCGGTCTGCAGGCACGGGTACGGTGGTGTCCGCAGGGCCAGGCACCCGCCCCGTGAGCCATGCTCGTGATTCGTGACCAGTGAACCCTGTCTTCTGTGCCGTATGTTGACCCGGGCCTCGTGGTCTGTACTCTGTCCTGGAGCCTGGTGCCATCTGCAATCTTATCCTAAATAAAAACGACAATGATCTGCGTAAATTTTGGCTTCCATCAATAGTTTGGTTTTGTACCAGACGCCCATATTATGTAAGAGGCCCAATGCCCATAGGTCGGTGGCTGTCTCGAAAAGTCGCATCAAACTTCCACTGAATGCATATTCCACATTGCACAGAGCACACAAAAGCGTGCAAGCACGCGAACGATTTGCACAGCAGTGGGAGAGCTCATTAAGAAGCCTCAATATAGCCGTTTCCTTACAATTACAGGCGCATGTCAATGGAAACTTGCCATCCCAGATTCCTAAATACTACTACCTTGCATAGTCACTGCGGCACTGACAATCATTTTGATATATGAGAAATGTAGACTTTTGTTGGCCTTGCGGAAGCGGCACGTGGTGCGGAGAGTGGGTCACAAGGAACACAATGCCGGGGGAGACCCATGGGGCGATATCTCTTAGAGCACGCGACCGTTTCAGGAACAACGCGGTCCGATAAGGACCTAAAAGCGGCAGCCGGCCTCACAGGGAGATCCCACATCTCAGCGGAATGTGCTGTGCAGAACATCGGGAAGACCCTCCTATCGGAGCAGCAGAGAGCGAGAGGGCACATTTACCCTATCGAGCTGCAGAGGGCGGAAAACTGGGGAGAACCAGCTATCAGAAACCGAGTAAGGGAACCACAGCCCTATCTGACGCGGAAGGGTGACCACTGACCGCCCGACGCCGGAAGGGTGCCCTGGTAGCACCGCCGTCAGCCACGTGTCAGGCTGCGGGTCTGTTTGATGCAGGAAGGCTCCTGTTGCCTAGTCTGAGTCATACCACTTGCTGACCATGAGACACTTGATTTTTCTCTTGACTGCGAGTGAAGTGGAGTGAACTCCTTTGCAGTGAACTCCCCGGACCGTCAGGGAAGCTTAATGAAGCTCAGCCTCACACCATGGCCTTCAGCCAATTCAGCCCGGCGGACTTGTAGTTCCTATCCTCTCGCGGCCCCGCAGTGCTCCTACTCAATATCACTTTACTACCTCTTAGTTGCCCGATAGGTCCCAATTTCCTCCTTGCTATAAAAACGAGTACCACGGTGGCTCTTCGTAAGCTGTCCAGCTTGGCCGGGACCAAGGGGTCTTACAATATTGAGTCAGCTACGTCAGCTACCATGGATGAACGGATGGCAGGTCACAATAACTTACTTCTTCTTGTGTCACACTAGTACCTACTGCCCAGTGCAATCTCTGTAATTTCCCACATTCCTATTATTTTCCCTATAACTCGCAGCAGTCGGCCATCAGTGCGATAAAACCGTGAATGTAAACTGAGAAGCATGACAGCTAACAGATTCCTGTCAACACTTTTCTGGACCCTTGAACAAAATGACATTATTACGACGATAGCCATAAACCTGTTTACAGGTGCCATACTCGTATGTGCAATGCTTAGCTGCATAGAAGCTGAATCTTATCAAATCCAATACTATTAGCGTGAAAAAGGAGAAATGAGTATCTTAGCTTACGGATAGGTCACAAAGTGAAGACGTGCCTCACGCTTTTCTCGTCAAAAGAACGGGAAGAATCAGGATCGGGGTCCTCACCGCTTCTATTCGCTCTGAGTGGCCATCGCGTGCTGATGGAACGCGGGGTTATGTTGACTGTACGCGAAGTAAAAGTGATTTACAAGATATTTCAAGCATAAAAGTTAGGCAAGGTAGACAAAGTACCACCAACATTCGGCCGTGTTTGGATGCGCCACGACGGCGATAAGCGCACCTTTTCTGAGAACGCCTCCAAACGGCAGTAGATAATTACGTACCGACTCGTCCACGAAGGGACTGAACATGCAACTCTACAGGGCAGGTGCGGGTGCCAAGCCGACCACGGCGCTCCCATCGGATGGGCGGGCCCAGGTTCCACCCTTCAGCCGGGCGGGTCTGCGGTTCCACCCACATTGGTTGGGTGCTCTGGACAATGTCGGCCTGGACCTCAGGCTCTCTGTGGACTACTGGGGTGGATTTTGGACAAGCTCACCCAATCGCGTCCACCTGTCTGCATTCTCCAGTTTCCTCCAAATCAGTCCAGAACTGCCGCCAGCGAAGAGCGCTGCGATAACGCTGCTCTCCGGGATCGAGGACGATGCGATTCCCCTCAGAGTCTAATGGCGCCGTTACGAAGACGGGCGATAACAGACGCCGCGAGCTGCTTCTCAGTCCCTTAGAGGTCCCCAGGTCCCCAGAGGGCTTGGTAGTTACAACAGGAGAGTGCCGACTGGCGCCGGTGACATATCGATCCAATTGTTCCCGGTCAAACTGTTCCGTAGTGACCCAGCTGGTATGCACTATGCACGACTGCGCCAGGCCTGTTTTGGTTGACACATGTCGGTAGTCGTTGATTGACTTTTTCCATAGTCCTATTTGGCTTCGTATCGTTTATAGGGAGGTACCCTGTCTTATTCCCTGAAAATCCTTCCATAACTTACGTTGAAGAAAGGTGACAGCCCGCTGAAAAACGCTACCTTCCTCCTAAATTCTACCGAAACTCCTGCAGGTGTACAGACTGCAGAACTCATAAGTCATAAGTTACAACCAGCATCCTGCATCCTCACACATGCCTGAAAAGTGCGCGCTCTGCTGACCTACGTCACGCCCCGGTCATCCAGTACCGTCCCGGCAATCAAGCTCCCTTCATCTCCGGGACGAGTGTCCATCAGTCAGAACCGGCGACCACTCGGAGAGGCCACTCGCCACCGGGCTGCGGCGGCGGCCGGGGCCGGATTCCAGCCGGCGCCACACGACCGCTGACGATCGCCAGATAGCCGGCGCCACTGCGTCCCCGGGCGCCGCAAGCAGCGGGCAAGGACACGGACACGGCGCGGACACAGCAGCGGGCACAGCACGGACACGGCACGGACACGGATACCGCACGGACACGGGCGCCGCAAACAGCGGGCAAGGACACGGACACCGCGCGGACACAGCACGGACACGGGCGCCGCAAACAGCGGGCAAGGACACGGACACCGCGCGGACACAGCACGGACACGGGCGCCGCAAACAGCGGGCAAGGACACGGATACCGCGCGGACATGGGCGCCGCAGGCAGCGGACAAGGACACGGGCACGGATACGGACATGGACAGCGGGACAAGCGGAGTGGATATCGACACAGACACGGACACTGCGTGGACAGTGGACACATCCCCAGGTGGACATGGGGAAAATGATACGGCTGATACCATGAAGACGCTATACGACGGACACAAGGCCCAGACCTAGACCTGGACCAGGACCTAGACGTAGACTCAGAAGACGGTATCGTACATCACAGGCCAGGCAGCCGGCACTTGACACAAATAAACTGGCATGCATAGACAACGGGGGACTACCAGACACTGAGGCGAGATATGCAACAAAGCACCAGGCATGCGAGGACACTGGAACAGACAAGGACGACCGTGCCTCTCCAATGGACCAGCAAGGTCAGGTCAGAGTAGATAATAGTATGCAAGGAGCACAGCGCTGTCACCAGGAACACAAAATGGGCATCGGGAACGAGCGTCATTCATGGTACTCACTCTTTGTAGCCGGAGCCGTAGGGGTTGCCCATGTCGGCAGTCATTTGATGCTGCTGCGACTGGTGCGGGTGGTGATGGGGGTACTGCTGCTGCTGCTGTTGCTGCTGCTGCTGCTGCTGCTGTTGCTGTTGTTGATGGTGGAGGTGAGGCTGCTGCTGCTGCTGGTGCTGTTGATGGTGCTGTTGTTGCTGCTGTTGCTGCTGATGGTGTTGCTGATGCATGGACATGTGCGCCTGGTATGGGTCGGTCCGTCGGTCCACGGTGCCGAGGCGTCCGGCACCGCCCGCCGCCATACCCGAGTACTGTCCACTGTACCCCGCCGCCACGCCGCCCCCGCCCCCGCCCCCGCCGTCGGCGCCGCCACTGCCGTGCGCGCCGGCCATTTTGGCGGCGCTCTTTAGTCCTGGCGGTGTGAGCGGCGGCGTATCCGCCGGACTCTCGCCGTAGCCGGTGGTACCGTACCCGGTCGACATGTACCCCCCGACCAGACCGGCGTACCCGCCCGCCGGCGCCGGCGGGTACCTGGCAAAGTCCACCGGGCCGGCCGCCCCGGCCGCCGCCGGCAGGTAGCCGCTGCCGCCCCCGCCCCCGCCGCCGAGCCGGTCCGTCGGCCAGGACCCCGGCGGCGGTGGGGTCTTGCAGACCGCCGTGTCGGCCAGGGACCAGATCTTTGGCTTCTGCCCGTCGACCAGCGCCCCCTTGGCCTGGAAGTCGAGCGCGTCGGGTGACAGCGCCTCGGCCTTGACCTCCGCGCCGGCCAGCGGGGACAGGCCCTCGCCGTCGGCCGAGGACGCATCTGCAAACAGAGGGTCAGCTCAGCGAGTGCAGGGCGCGCCGCCGGCATGGCGTCAGCCGGTGCGAACACCCGCCATACGGGCGACTCAATATGCAGTGTCCCTTTATGCGGACTTGTGATGCAGATGACATGCGCATCGTGCAAACGGGAGAACTGGGAAACCAGGGGCGCTAGGACCGAAATGGCTTGGGCGACAAGCAGCTCCAGCGATCGCCTGAGTCTGATACAGCGAACTGGCTGACGTTTTCCGCGAGCGACAGTGACTCGCCATCATTTGTCAGTGGCGCATACATCAGGTGGTGTCGGCGGTAATGTGGCCCGCTGAGAGGCGACATCACTCACCACCACGTGGGTCGGGCGCCTCGCGCCGGCCGCGGCGCCGCTCACCTTTCTCGCCGACCGTGCCGTCCTGGTCGGCCTTGTCCTTGGAGTCGCCGTTTTCGTCGACATCGTCGTCCGATTCGGTCTTGTTCTTCGGCTCCCAGGTCATCTTGTTCTCCTTCTTCAGTCTCCGGCGCGCGTTGGCGAACCACGTCGACACCTGGGTCAGCGTCATCTTGGTGATGATGGCCAGCATGATCTTCTCGCCCTTGGTCGGGTAGGGGTTCTTCTTGTGATCGCTAAGCCACTTTTTCAGCGTGCCCGTAGACTCGCGCGAGGCGTTCTTCTTCCGGTGCGCCAGGTCATAAGGTGCGTACCTGTCGAACAGATAGGTAGCGGGTCAGTGGGTGAGGCGCAATCACTCTAACTTGGCGCAACATTGCGTGGGCATCGTTAGAAACCGAGAGTTTAACTCGATGAACCAAGATACATACTTGGTCTCCGGAGTACGCTAGCCCCGCAAAACCCAGCTCAAGCGCCAAAAATTAATCACAAATTTCCTTTCGTCTTCTTCTAATCCGTGAACAAATGTTAAATCCTTATCGGTTTCCCTGAACATGGGTTTAAAACGTTTTTCTTAGCTGCAAAATAACGGCTGTTTTCCTCTGACAAATGCCTGGACAAGTTTTGAACAGGTCAGTGCACCTGCTCCCAGACTTTAAGTTCAAGGACAGTCAAAGGCAGTCAAGCTTCATGAGAGGCCACGAAGAAGCCTGACAGGGAGACACGGAATTCTGACACGGAAACACTAAAGTCAGACAAGGAAGCTCGACACGGAGACACTATGTAATGTCTGACACGAAGACTCGAAAGTCTGGCACAGAGACACAGAAGTCTGATACGGAAGCCTGACACGGAAGTCTGACACGGAAGTCTGACACGAAAGTCTGACAGGGAGACACGGAATTCAGAGTAACGGATGAAGCCGTTCACCGACGTGACCGTTGGTTATCTAAATATTATGATATTACCGAGTGCTAATCGAAGCAAATCTTTCTGGCCGATTGTTCACGTCTTTTTGGCTCTTTTATGAAATTGTTTCATGATGTCTCCTATTAAATACATTTGCCTTTATAAATAAGCATACCAGATGATTTTCCACATACAGGTAAGCCAGGTATCCAATGATTCTGTCCTAACTGATTTCCCTCAGACGGACAGACAAAAGTGACCTGGTGACCCCGTCGCCTACAGTCCGTTCCCCGGGTCATGGTGAGACCCCGATCAGTCGTATACCCGGCCTGACCGCAGACGACTCGTCACTTTTTGTCGCGGGTCTCTGCCCAGTTCCACTCGATCGCGCCCTCGCTCTCCTCCACTGCTTATGCAGAGTGGACGGAGACAAAAACGGGGCCAGGCTGGAGCGGCGACTGGGCCACGAGAGTGCCGACTGGGGGCTTCAAGTGACGACTGAACCTTAGCCCTCGCCCGCACATGGGGGGGGGGGGGGTGGTTGCCACCCCCCCCCCCCAGGTAGTCTTTCTGCTCTGCACTCAACATTTTTAGAGCTAGAAGGCTGATTTTTCGTATAGCTGCTCCTCTATCCTTTCTTGATGTCCACTGAAAATTTCAAGTTTCTGTGATTTTTGGTTTCGGAGATATGACCTTGTTTTTCAGGTCATGTCATGACCCAAATGGCCAATTCTCAACATCTTGCGTTTGCCATGGGCCTTATGAGCTTTTGACACCCTGATTTCGGTCTTTTTTGCCAGTCTTACCTCTCACCTATCATGGAACATGTTGTTCGACGATGTATAGGGGTCAAGGTCAGGGTCAAGGTCAACCTAGGTCATCTAAGATAATTGCGTTTTAGGCAAGCTGAATTTACTTTTTTTAAGTTTTTTGACTGCATTTTTGGTAAAAGCTTCTCAGATCATGATTTCATGTAATATGGACCCAAAAACAATCGGTGCACACATCAGTATACACACAGACACACACAGACATACAAACACATATAATTGACCTTGACCTAACTTGACCTGAAATGACCTCAGCAGCAAAATTCTGGTCGGGTAGTGTGACAAAGAGGTTCTAGCTGGCTTGGCACCAGAAAACAGCATCGTCATCGGTATTTGATAAGCAGCACACTTGATATCCAGCAGTGACCCAAAACAGCAACATTTTTTAGTTTGACCTGACCTGGAAGGTCAATGACTGACCTGAGAAGGTAAAACTGGGTATCATTGGATTCGTCTCTTCCCAAAGAATCTTTTTGGTCTTTACTGCTAAGCTCTATCTCCAACAGGAACGAAATGGCGCGGGGGGGTGGCAACCCCCCCCCCCATGTGCGTTCTAGGATGGGAAAATGGCATGTGCGGGCGAGGGTTAGAGCACCGGTCGAGCCTGGACCTCTGCACACTCGAGTCGCGTTCAGGTGAGTCGCGAGGGCAGAGAGCTGGTCAGCGAGCTGGATGGTGCTGGTCAGAAGACGTTGCCGACCGCTGTAGTTAACAAGCCAGCTGTCAATTCCACGACAAGAGAAGCCCAGAAAATATAGAGAATTACTGAGGTCAGTCGGTGCTATACCTTCTCCTCCCGCACCTACTTCGGGGAAACAGACAGAGCCGTTCCAAGGACAAGGAAAAATGGCTCGTATCGGTTGTAGAGCACCTGACAGCCGTTCCAGATAGGCTGCGGGAGCTGGCGATCGTAGAGGCGGTCAGCGAGGAATGGTACCGCGCTCAGACGCTGACCGGGTCTCGCTGTCCCTCCGGTGCTAATCAGGGCGTTCCGTGTTCTTTAGTCCGTTAGCTTTCGCTCGCCTAATTACTAATTCCGCGCGACGAAATTCGCCATTCGCCAGCCACCTTCCCATCCGATATCATGCAGGCTGCACCTGCAGACTACAGTAAGCAGATTTGTTTGTTGATAATAACAACTAAACAACCGGTTTCAACGCACCTAAAATAATTTGAGTGATCTCTGTATTCCAGAAATAAAACAAAATTCATCACTGATCAGAGATATTCTCGATGTATTTTGGCCGTTGATGCTAAGTGCAGTGCTTGCTGACTGTCAGCAGAGCGGCCCCACCTGCTCACTGCCCAGTCAGGGATTGCTGACCGCAGTGGTGTGCAGGGCTCACGGAATCAGCGACAGCTTACTCTGCATGGCTCAGCGCGGATAGACCGGTCGGAGGTGTGGTAAGCCACCACACGTCTCCGGCCGGCCGAACTAATCGCTCTTACCGCAGCCGGCCAGCCAGCGACTCGGGGCGAGCCGACGTGGTGGTTTCGGAACGCTGCTGGAGAGACAGAAAATGGCAGGGTGTTTGAACAGCGAGACGAGAACATTTCACCCCGAGGTGGCCTTATCTACATATAGTTTTTTTTTTAAGGCGGCAGGACTATGGCGTTGTATCCTCTGTGTCGCATAATATTTATGTTTTTCTTCAGTTTCCTCTCATCTTCATTAATTGACTTTGTTCATTTTTCCCTTTTGATTTCTTTTTTCTCTCAGACTTCTCTCTCTCTCCCTCTCTCTTTCTCTGTCTCTCTCTCCCTCTCTCTCCATCATTCTCCATGTCCATGCCCTCTATCCCTCTTGCCGTCCCTTCCACCATCTTCGTTTGTCCGTACCAGTCTCTGACCGGTGATTACGTCTTTCCCTCAGCCATAGACCTCTGTACTGTATACAGAGGTCTATGCCTCAGGCCTCAGCCAGTCTACAGCCACCATCTCCATTCCCGGGCGCGGGTCCGACCACCACTTCTCGTCCCGTCTGTCCCAACAACCTCCCATCTCCGTCCATCACTTCTCGTCCCGTCCACCCCATCCTCCTCCCGTTCATTCATCCCATCTACCTCCCGTCTCGTCAATCCTATTCACCTCCTCACCCTCCCCTGCATCCCCTCATCCTCTCGTGCATCCACCTCCCGCCCCGTCCATCCCGTCTCTCACACTGTAGCTCCGTCCACGACCTTTATCCATCACCTGTGTCCAGGTCCACTGTCTATCCCATCCACCTCCCATCCACCCCCTCCTTTTCCGTCTGTCCCATCTCCGTCCATCACCTGTGTCCATCACGGCGCCGGCCGTCATCACTCACTCGGCGGACCATCATCAGTCAAACGGCGAGCCATTATCGCCCGCCCCGCCAGCGATGACGCTAATTAATCACTGACGATCGCCGCCGCCGCCGGAGGTCGGACGCGCGCCGCCGCCGCCGCCGCCGCCGCCGCCGCCCGCGTGCCGCGCGCCGCCCGGCCCGCCGCTACCAGGAGAGCCCAGCAGCCGCCCGCCGCGGCCGCGGCCGCCGGAGTCTCCGCCGCTCGCTCGCTACCCCGCCGCCCGCTGAGAGCGCCGCTACCGCAGCCGCCGCAAGTGAAAATGGCCGTCCTAGCGATCGAGAGCCCAAAAGGATTTTGACGAGAAGTGACGACTGAGGATTGGAGACGAGGGGGGGGGGATGAGAGAGGGAATATTGCGGTAGCTTTGAGGTAGTAGTGGGGAACAGTTGGGTAACAGTGAGTTATTAGTGATATCTCCTCACAGAAAAGTGATACAAATCGGAATAATACCGGTTGGTAATTATAAGCGAGAACAAAACAAAATAGTGGGAAACAGAGAGAAACTGCAGACCAACAGGGGACAATTTGCGTGCGGCCCGCCGTCCGTCGTCTGAGGCTCGGGTTGTTTGGCGTGCTGCAGTAACCACCGGCAGGTGGCTGACCGCTGATGTTCGTGACGGGTGCACTGGTGACTGAGGTGACATTGCGGTGGCTCAGGGCTGACAAGGTCTGTCAGGATGCACTTGTCGGGACGATTGGAGTTGCACAGGTGCAGAAGAACAAACACAACAAGTGATTAGATTTATATATGTAAAAATTGAAGCTGGCTGTTCCTTTGTGGACATCACATTACAGTTAACACACAATTGAAATATTGATCAGTAGGTATATTATAAAGCTACATTTAATTTGACGGAATAAAGGGAAGCGGCACGTTGATATCTGAGATCGTGGTCTGACCCTTCTACCGACGACTTGAGTCTACCGTGGAAAAAACATGCTTGGGCATCTCATAACTTTTTCTCCCGAGTTACAAAGCTACAGCTGTTGTCGTGAAAATGGAATGCAAGCAAAAGCGAATCACACGTTATTCGACATTTATCGAAATTTCATGAGAATGTCAATATAATAGGAAAACGTTAAACGTAAAACGAGTTAATGACCTGAAGGTAACACCTATCAGCCCCTATGGTAAGCACTTTCGATCAATATTTTGAAGAGGATGGCCTGGTTAAACGTACTGGCCAATGGATGCGGAGCGGTTATCTGCATTGATTTTTACCGTCATTAAATCACCACGGTCGTATGAAGGTACGGGTATTTTTCAGTAACGCAGCTGCAGCACCAGCATTGGCGTCACCGGCATTGCTCTTGGTGCCACCGGCATTGGTGCTCGTGTCCGACCGGAAATTTGTGCTACTTAGAGCTGGTGTTTCTGGCGTTTGCGTCACTGAGCAGACCATAACAATTTCATTTAGAATCATTTACGATATACCAGCTACCAATCCGACATTGGACACTGAAGGTATTCCGCTCTTTTGCTTTTCCGGCTCTCACCGAAAGGCCAATATCACTTTGCCCTCAGCACCGGGAGAGCGTTTCCCCTGACTACCATATCGGTCGAACGGTGCTGGAGACACCTCTGCCCATCACTGCCGGCTTCAGACACCCTCGTGGGGCTGGGATGGGCACCAGTCAGATGTCATAACACTGACTCAGCCTATACCCTGCACAGCCATACACACACGGTCGCTACCTACAAAGAAGCGGACAGAAAATATACAGAACACGTCACCGGCAGCGTCCTCTTGTCGAGCAGCTCCAAGATCCCAAATCTGTCGAAGGGCCCCCGTTTCGCCCTGCCATCGCCGTAAACAGACGCCCGCGACTGCAAGGTTCACAGAAAACAAAGATACAAAGCACACCATCGTCAGCAGTGAAGAGGCTCGTACTCCTTTTCTATAGGCCTCCAACAGCCCTCAGAAAAACAAACCTTCATACGCCATCAATCTGGTCGCCTCGAATAGGACACAAACAAGCCTAAAAATGGTGTAAAACCAAACAAACAAATGTCTGAACCAGAAATAAGAGAAACTCAACAATTACAGACATAGTCCATATAAGCGATGAATAGACGGCCAAGAATGCTGCGACTCAGCTTTCGGATACTGAAATATTATTCGTGTAAAACAAAAGACGAAGGTATAGTTCGTAACAACATCGAAATGACGTCAGAACACGGACCCAAAGGTGGACAGACGGAGAAAGGTGTACAGTTTCAGCGGTAGAGGGAAGCGTTCGCCGTGGCAAACACTACGCTTGATTGAAATCAAAACGGTTCGGCCAGAAATCTTCCGACCTGTTTATTTTCCCGAGTCATAAAGCAGCAAGCCTGTAACTGTTACCAATGCCAGCGCAGGCTGCGAGAACAAATCAATCTGGAAGCCCGATGCCACTTCAAGATCGAACAGCTGGATTTACGTGGACTTAGCGAGAAGATGGAATATTTTTTTCGTGCCGTATTTTTATAACTGGCATCAAGGAAGAGAGGGAACGTTTTAATTCTATACATCGTGATAAAACGAAATGATACACAGCGATCCTGTGAAAAAAACAAGAGAGCCATCAGCCTCATAGAAAAGTTATCATTTTTTTTTCGCGGAGTCAAAGGGTTATTAGGCACTGGCGGATCCAGGGGGGGCCACGGGAGCCATGGCCCCCCCCCAAAGGCCTAAAGTGGCCGGTTTGCCCCCCCCAAAACGTCCGAAAAAATGCTAAGAAAATATACCTTGATGGAGGTTTTTAGCCACTTGGTGAAGTAAAGCTTTCCACAGCATAATATGGAAGCAATATGGTAGCAGTGAGGGTCAGTCAAAAGTTGCGCGAGAGGAGTCGACCTTAAAAAAAAGACTGTTGTTGGGCTTGGCACCTGTTTATGGCGCGGCAGCTGGTAGTTGGCGGTGTTTCGCGTGGTGTGGCATCACTGGCCGATCCAGGGGGGGGGGGGGGCACGGGAGCCTGAGGTGCCCCTGACAGGTCCATGGTGTCCTTGCTAGGCCTGTGGTGCCCCTGGACCCTGGCAGGCCTGTGGTGGCTCTGGCGGGCCTAGGGTGCCCCTGCTAGGCTGCTGATGCCCCTGGGACCTGACAGGACTGCGGTGCCCCTGACAAGCCTAAAGCGCCCCCAACAGGCCCGTGATGTCCCCGACAGGCCCAAGGTGCCCCTGCGTGATGCCGTGATGCCTGCGAGGCCGGCAGGGCCCCTGACAGGACCATGGTGCCCCTGCGAGGCCGTTGGTGCCCCTGGCAGGTCTCTGGTGTCCCTGACAGACCTGGGGTGCCCCTGACAAGCCTGTGGGCCCCTCACAGGCCCGTGGTGCCCTTGCTAGGCCTGTGGTGCCCCTGGCTGGCTGGTGGTGCCCCTGCTAGGCCGGTGGTGCCCCTGACAGGCACCACCCGGGCACCAAAGGGGGTCATGACCCATGTGGCCCCCCTTGGATCTGCCACTGATACATAATATATTGATTTGTAAAGGCTAGACCGGTGGTGCCCCTGGCAGGCCTGTGGTGCCCCTGCTAGGCCCCTGGTGCCCCTGGGCCCTGACAGGACTGTGGTGCCCCTGCTAGGCCTCTGGTGCCCCTGCAAGGCCGGTGGTGCCCCTGTAAGGCCTGTGGTACCCCTGCTAGGCCTCTGGTGCCCCTAACAGGCCCATGGTGCCCCTGCGAGGCCGGTGGTGCCCCTGGCAGGTCTCTGGTGTCCCTGACAGACCTGGGGTGTCCCTGACAAGCCTGTGGGACCCGTCACAGGCCCGTGGTGCCCTTGCTAGGCCTGTGGTGCCTCTGGCGGGCTGGTGGTGCTCCTGCTAGGCCGGTGGTGCCCCTGCTTGGCCGGTGGTGCCCCCGGGCACCAAGGGGGGTCATGACCCATGTGGCCCCCCTTGTATCTGCCACTGATACATAATATATTGATTTGTAAAGGCGTTGTTGGATATTTAGCGTATGCCGTAGGTACTCTCTGCCTCTGTAGAGTAGATGGCGCTGGTGTTTGTAACACTTTTCGTAAACCTTGACGTTGATGTCGTGTGTGTCACGTGCTGAGGCGGAAGTGACGCCGTTTTGTTGTGTTTTGGGCACGCCACTTCTCTGACTGCCGGACCCATGTGCGGGTCGCTGTCAGTGTCAGCCAAATTTAACGTACTTGGGATGCGGAACATTAGTAACGTTTGAGCTCTTTATGCGGCTGGCCTTTGTGCCTTTTACTACACCGCTTGATTCTGGGATCGTGATTGCCTTGCAATGCAAATGTGTGGCAATACAAGTCAAGTGAGACTTGAGAGTGTGAAAGTTTGAACCGGACTGAAGTCGTTAAGTAATATTGGTGCCGAAACTCGGGGATTTCGATTTGCTGGTTGCTCATGTGACCATGTCTGTTGAGGAGCTAAAAAGAGCTCGTGTCGCTGCTCGTGGATGGCTGAAGAGAGCAGTAATCAAGATTGATCAGGCTGTGGCCTCTGGCGCAGATGATGTTGAGCTCAACAGTATTATCAGTGAGTTCAATCTGAGGCTTGGTAATCTTGATGCAGTGCAGCAGAAACTGGAGCTCTGTCTGGATGAGTCTGAGTTGGAAGAAGACATCTCGAGAGCATCTGAGGTTCGTGATGCTGCATTGGAGTCACGCTTGCGAGCTCTGAGGTTTGTCGACAAAAGGTCTGCTAAATCTTCGAAGCCAGGTGAGACTGATCCCCCTCTCTCTGTTGCAAGTCAGAACGTAAAGCTACCAACACTGCAGCTTCCCAAGTTTGGTGGGCAAGTTCTTGAGTGGGAGCCCTTCTGGGACCAGTTTGTGGCCAGTGTTGATATTTCTGATTTGCCAGAGGTGTCCAAGCTTGTCTATCTCAAGTCCCTGTTGTACGGTGATGCTCGACAAGCTATAGATGGTTTGGCTGTGGTCAGTGAGAACTACAAAGTAGCCTGTGATATTCTGAAGGAACGATTTGCAAGACCTGCTCAGATTATTTTTGCTCATGTGGAAAAACTGCTGAAACTTGGTGTGCATGACAGCAAAGACCTGAAATCTGTTCAAGATAGCTTGTTGCTGCATATCCGTAGCCTTGAGAGACTTGGTGTTGGTGGGGAGACGTACGGAGTGATTCTAACCCCTCTGGTTTTGAGTCGCCTGCCTGACTCTTTCCGTTTGGAGTGGGCTCGGGGGAGTGCTGGCCGTGAGGGTGACTTAAACTTTCTCCTCGACTGTCTCAAGGCAGAGATTGAGCGACTGGAGCGGTCTCGAGTCCTGGAGGGCAGCTCTGTCCCTCTGGATCTGGAGCAGAGACTGCCGGCTGCTCAGAAGAGGAATGGACGTCGGCCCCAGCCGGCGTTTCAGCGCCGTCCACCTGCTTCAAGAGGACCTGCTCCTGCCGCAGCCTCTGTGCTGCACTCTGCTGCTGTGCCGGGTGACCAACCCGCACCTGCTCTTCAAGAAGCTACAAGAGTCGTCTCTACCTCGTCTGGTTGTGGTTTCTGCAGAAAACCACACCCCACAGATAAGTGTCCTAAGGTAATTGGCCTCCCAGTTCCACAAAGACTGCACAGAATTAAGTATGCTGGCCTGTGCTTTGTGTGCTTGCAGTCAGGTCACAGAGCCCGAGAGTGCTCTCAGTGTTGTGCTGAGTGTGGTGGCAGACACAATCAGTTGTGCTGTTTTCGTCTTCATGGTGTAAAGTCAGAGCCCTCTGCTCAGAGTGTGTTGACCACAGCAGAGGAGCAGGCTTCAGGAGCTGCTCTGCCTTGTGGTGTTGAAGCGAAAACTAGACAGTGTACTGTTCTACCCACTGCCAAAGTGACTGTTCAGGGGTCTAAGGGAGCTGTGGAAGCTACATTGCTGTTTGACTCTGGATCTGATCGTACATATGTGACTGAGTCGTTGGTGAAACGTGTTGGTGCTCAGTGGCTGACCTCCCAGAGTGTGAACTTTGCTGCCTTCGGTGGTGGCAAAGCCTCTCGAGGTCAACGTGATGTGTACAAGATGTGTGTCAAAGGCATTTCTGCATCTGATTGTGACATGAAGGTGTTCCCAGCTGTGGCCGTGCCGGTGATCTGTGCACCCTTGTCTCGTCCAACTGTGCCTGATGTGTGTGTACTCGAGTTCAAGGAGCTGACGTTAGCTGACGGTGACTTCAGCAGGGACCTGTGTGTTGACATTTTGGTTGGCCTTGACTGCTACTGGAGTTTGCTCAGGTCAAGTGTCTTGATTGGTTCCTCTGGTCTTGTCGCCCAGAACTCCTGCTTTGGCTGGGTCGTCTCTGGTGCAGTGACCGATGCGCAGTGCAGCGCCAGCCTGGTCTCCTGTCGCCTCCTCTGTCTGGGCGACCTGAGGGACACAGAGGTGAGAAACCTCTGGGAGCTGGAAGGTGTTGGCATCAGCTCCAAGGAGAGTGAGTCTCATGCTGAGGACGATGCTGTCTTCAAGCAGTTTGAGTCTTCTGTGAGGTTTGAGGGGGGCAGGTACGAGGTAGGCCTTCCGTGGAAGGGTGATTCCTCTGTGACTGAGCTACAGCCTAACCGCTGTTCAGCTGAGAGAAGGCTTCAGAGCCTGTCTCGTCGTTTGAGTGGAGACGAGGAGCTCAGGGATGAGTATGACCGCGTGCTACAGGACATGGAGTTGTGTGGCGTGATTGAGGAGGTCCCCGAGTGTGAGCTTGTATGTTCCTCTGGTGTAGAGTTCTACATGCCTCATAGACCTGTAGTCCGCCCTGGTAGTGTGAGCACCAAAGTTCGTCCTGTGTTCGATGCTTCAGCTTGTGGACCCACCGGGGTCTCTCTCAATGACTGTCTGGAAGCTGGGCCGTCCCTGATTCCCAGTCTCACTGATGTGCTTCTACGGTTCAGGAGGCACAAGTATGCAGTCACTGGTGACATAAGTAAGGCGTTTCTCCAGATATCTGTGCGGCCAGAGGATAGGGACTGTCTCCGTTTTCTGTGGGAGCAGAATGGTGAAGTGCGTGTGATGCGCTTTACTCGTGTCCCTTTTGGTGTTACTTCCTCTCCGTTTCTTCTGAATGCCGTGATTAAGCATCACCTTGCCAGCCGCCCCATGTCCAGGGTGGTCTCTGAGCTGCAGGAGAACCTGTACGTTGACGATTGGTTGTCTGGTGCAGATTCCGAAGTTGAGGCCACTGAGATGTTCCTGGAGGGCAGGTCCATCCTTTCAGAGGCTGGTATGACGCTGACTAAGTGCCACTCGAACAGTGACCTTGTGCTGCAGTCCGCTGGCAGCTCTCAGGAAACTGAGACCGGGCTGAAAGTACTTGGTGTGAACTGGGACCCGGCTGTGGACGTGCTGAAGTTTGGGGGTGTCCACGTTCCGGCTGGTGTGGTTGGAACGAAGAGGGTCCTGCTGAGTCTTCTCGCAAGGATGTTTGACCCTCTGGGTTTGCTTGTTCCGTACATGATGACCGCCAAAGTTCTGTTTCAGCGGCTTTGGATCCGGGGTCTGGCGTGGGACGATCCTCTGCCGCTGTCAGACTCCGATGTCTTTGAACGGTGGCTTTCTGGTGTCTCCGTTCTTCGACAGCTGAGTGTGCCCCGCTGTTACCTGGTGGGTGACGTGTGCTGGTCTGACGTGTCTGATCAGCTGGAGCTTCACGTGTTCGGTGACGCCAGTGAGAAGGGGTACGGGTGTGTGGCGTATGTCCGGTATCCACTACCCGATGGCAGCTTCACCACTTCGTTTGTGATGGCGCGAGCTCGTGTGGCTCCCGTGAAAACAGTCAGTCTTCCCAGGCTCGAGCTGTTGGCGTGCTTGTTGGTTGCACGTTTGGTAAAGCATGTGTGCTCTGCCCTGAGACTGTCTGACGTGCGGACGTTTTGTTGGACTGACTCGACTGTGGCCCTGGCTTGGGTGACGAGTCGTCCCTCCAAGTGGAGACAGTTTGTGAGAAACCGTGTAGAGGAAATTCAAACTCTGACTGACCCCTCTGTATGGTGTCATATCTCGGGCGTGCAGAACCCCGCTGATGCAGCCTCTCGTGGACTGTTCGCAGACCAGCTGTACGAGTCTGACCTCTGGTTCGGCGGACCTGCATGGCTAAGGGCGCCACGAGTCTCGCCCGTCGACTGCAGGTTGTTTGTGACAACCGAGGAGCTGGCCGAGTCGGACACGGGCGAACGGGAGACCGCCACTGGTGAGCCGGAGTGCTCTGGTGAGCGCTTGCCAGGTCAGTGTGACGTGATTGGCGCGGAGTCGTCACCGGCGGTGGCTCTTACTCTGGAGTCTCGCCCCGACTCGCCTACTTGCGGGAATGTGTTCACTGTTGAGCGATGGAGCACGTTGACGAAGGCCGTACGGGTAGCGGCGTGGGCGAGGCGTTTTGTGTGGAACGCGCGCCACCCTGACAGCCGCAACCTGTCACCTGAACTTTCGTACCGAGAGCTGTGTGTGGGTAAAGCTGACCTGATACGACAGGCACAGCGTACTAGTTATCCGCAAGAGTGTTCCGCGCTGGAACAGGGTAGGACTGTGTCCAAGAGTTCGCCTTTGTACAGGTTGTCGGCCTACCTGGCCGAGGACGGTCTCATTCGCATGAAGGGTCGTCTTCAGCTGTCCGACCTGTCAGTTGAGGAAAAGAACCCAATCATACTTCCAAAGTGTCATCTATCTCTATTGATCATTCGCTTTCAGCATAGGCTGATGAGTCACGCCGGTGTCGGCACCTTGTTGTCTGCTTTGCGGCGCACGTACTGGATCGTGTCTGCCCGCCGCATTGCCCGGTCCGTGAAGCGCGAGTGCGTGGCGTGTCAGCGACAGGACTCACAGCCGTGCTGTGAGCCGGCTGGTCAGCTTCCCCGAGTTCGAGTGACAGAGTCATCTCCCTTCTCTGTAACTGGCATCGATTTCGCGGGTCCGCTGTTCTCTGTTGATCAGCCTGGGAAAAAGTACTATATCTGCCTCTTCACATGCGCGACCACACGAGCTGTCCATTTGGAGATGACAGATTCTCTGTCGTTGCCGGCTTTTATTCTGGCCCTTCGACGGTTTGCGGCCAGACGTGGTTGGCCGGCCATCATCTTTTCTGACAATGCTGCCTCCTTCAGAGCGTGTGCGGCTCGTCTGAAGGAAACGATGGTGGACTCTGCTCCTGAGTGGAGATTTATTGTGCCCTCTGCTCCCTGGTACGGCGGCTGGTGGGAGCGGCTGGTTCGGTCCGTTAAGGTTGGATTGCGCAAGGCTTTGGGTAAGCGGTGCCTAACTTTGACTGAACTTGAGACTGTTCTTCTGGAGATAGAGTCGTGTATAAACTCCCGACCTCTGACATTTGTGAGTGATGACGTCACCTGTGCCGATCCGTTGACTCCCAATCATTTTCTGATTGGCCGTGGCTCTGTGTTCAGTCCTGATGTGATTGAGGACCACGAGAACGTGTCTGTGAAGTCGCTCTACCAGCGTGAGTCTGTCCGCCGTGCTCGTCTGGAGCAGTTCTGGCAGGTGTGGAAGCGTGAGTATGTGCGTAACCTCCCTGCTGCCGTTCCCCGATTTAGTTCCCGAGGTGGTTTGCGGGTAGGATCGGTGGTGATGATCCAAAAGGACAACCAGCCCCGTCTGAGGTGGCCTTGGGGAGTGGTAGAGCGGGTGCATCCGGGTAGGGACGGTGTTGTGAGAAGTGTGGATGTGCGCACCGCTAAGGGCAGTTACACGTGTGCTATTCAGCGTCTGCACAATCTTGAGGTAGTCGATGACAGCCCTGATGGCGTCCCTCCGCCCTGTGGCGGTTCCCGTGCGCCTCCATGCGGTGCCGGCGCGGCGTTTGATGTGCCTGGTGGTGTCTGTGATGGTGTTGAGGCTCCATCTGTTGGTCCGGCTGGTGAGGACCCAAGTGCGAGGGAGCCCGAGGTTCGTACTCGATCGGGTCGCGTGTCTCGGCGCCCGCGGAGATATTAGTTAAGTTAATGGCTTGTGTTTGTTTGCGCCATGCGGTGTATTGTTTGATATTTGTTCGTACCATGATGTTGAGTGCTCTCTGTCGCTGAGAGGCTCTCAAGGTGGGGAGTGTTGGATATTTAGCGTATGCCGTAGGTACTCTCTGCCTCTGTAGAGTAGATGGCGCTGGTGTTTGTAACACTTTTCGTAAACCTTGACGTTGATGTCGTGTGTGTCACGTGCTGAGGCGGAAGTGACGCCGTTTTGTTGTGTTTTGGGCACGCCACTTCTCTGACTGCCGGACCCATGTGCGGGTCGCTGTCAGTGTCAGCCAAATTTAACGTACTTGGGATGCGGAACATTAGTAACGTTTGAGCTCTTTATGCGGCTGGCCTTTGTGCCTTTTACTACACCGCTTGATTCTGGGATCGTGATTGCCTTGCAATGCAAATGTGTGGCAATACAAGTCAAGTGAGACTTGAGAGTGTGAAAGTTTGAACCGGACTGAAGTCGTTAAGTAATAGGCGTTATGGCTTATGCAATATGCAATTGCAGGCACTTGGTATCCCTCACTTATCCCTCATTGGGGGCTCTGGCGGGCTCCTGAGGGCCCACGTCTATCTCCATTCTCCGGGAGCCCTAGACGGGCTCCTTTGGGTCCTTTCAGTCCACTACAGCATAAGAGGTCTCCACGCAAGTCCTATACATCTGAGGGCGTACCCTGACGTCTGAGGTACCCAACTGCAGCTCCAATGGTGTCTTACACTGGCGGATCCAGGGAGGGGGCATTTAGGGCCATGCCCCTTTCCCAGAGGCCTAAAGTGGCCCGTTTGCCCCTCCCCCAAACGATAATGAAACATAGTTCAATCAGTGCGTGGCCCAGGAGCCGAGTTAGACTGGGGGTGTTTTACCACCTCCCGGCCCGCAAAGGGACCCAAGAACTGACTCGAAGCGGGTTAACTGGTCGACAAAAGCAATGGTAAGTGTTCACAAAGTAATATAAAGGCATGGGTCGGGTGGACTACCATTTATATATTTTTCTTTTTAGTTAAAAAAAAAATAATAGTGTCAGAGCTGTGACGAAAAATAAGTGGCCTAAATCCGATGAGAAAACAGGATTTGGGGGTACCCTAGGTTTGGCTCCGCATGAGTTGGCCCCCCCCCCCAAAACGCAAGCCTGGATCCGCCAGTGTTATTAGGATACATCTAAGGTTCGAAGTTTCGAAGGAGTTGCCTCTGTCCAATTAAAACTGTTGTTATGGTGTCAGTGTCATGCCTATAATATGTGTGTTTCCGCCGTTGTGTGGTGGGCCGCCTGTGCTTCTCAGAACTCCCCTCGACTTCAGCTCGGATCTCTGCCCTGCCATTCGGCCGGTTTCGTCTGACCGAAGGGGTGGCCGGCCGTTTCCGCGTCTGACCGAAGGGGTGGCCGACTGTACCCGTTAGTCGGCAGCGGCGGCACGTAACTCTATCCGTCCAGGGGACCGGCGTGACGTTCCAGTCTCGATCCTTCCACTTCCGCGTCTCAGCGAATGTGGAGTCGGGGGGGGGGGGGGGGGCAGCACGGTGGCGACCAGCGACCCCCCCCCCCTATCGTCTCCCCTCACCACAGCAGAGCGCGATTTGTTTATCGTGGGATATTGCCTCGATCGCCCGCACTGGAAACCCGTGAATGTGTCACCGGAAACATAAATATCCGATAGGAGGGTAAACCAGAGACGATCAGTTAGCTTAGAGTGGTTAGCTTACGTTTGCCAACACCGTTGCCATCTTTCGAAATCTCGGGACTAAGGAGGGAGCAAATATGCAGTTACAGCTGCAGTTGGCTTGCATTGTGTCAGGGAAATCTTTTAACTCTTACACCGAGAGAAGCATACAGTCGTTACATAAGTTGCCTGTGAATGCAAAATGGTCAATGAAGTTGACATGTTCGAAAACCTCTATAATACAAAGTAAAGATTTCAAACACGACAGCCAGTCAGTTCACTGCTTCATTTTACCCAATCCTTGAAGAATCCTACGCCAACGGTCACGAGTTAAGCTGATCTGCTAGTCCGAACGGTAGCCGGCGCTAGATGCATCCTCTCTCGTCATCAGCCGCAGGTGCCGTCATCAGCGTCATCACCGAAACGTGAAGGCTGTCCTGCGCGTCCCTCACTGCGGCCCGCCATGGCTAGACCACTGCACCGGCAAACCACCGACTGACCATCGCACTGGCGAATCGCTGTGGGTCGGCCGCTGACAGTCCACCAGCTGACCACAGCTAGACCCTCGGTGGACCATTGACAAGCCACCTGCGGACCATTTATTTGCCCATGGTAGACCACCAGGCACCGACAGACCACAGCTGGACAAATGATGGGCCATTGACAGACCACCAGCGGACCACCATCAGACCAGCGTCGGACCACCGCCAGTCCGTTCGGTCGGCGCGGGTCACGGGCCGTGTCGCCGTGTCGCTGCAGGTCGGTGGCCCGTGCAGACAGCCGATTATATACGGCCCGAGGGTCCTCCCGTCGGCGGGCGCGGCTCTGCGCCCCTGGGGACCCACCGCCGCCGACCGGGCGCCGAGTAGCGGACCACAGATAGCTGCCGCGGACAGCGCGGTCCACGAGCGGTCCCTGAGCAGTGAGCACTAGTGAGCGGTCCACGAGGGATTTCTGAGCAGTCAGCGGTCCCCTGAGCGGTCCCTGAGCGATCCCTGAGCCATCCTAACAGCCACGAGTTCACCAAAAATGGTTTCGGCAATTGCTTCACTGTCCTATCACTACAGCTGCATAAGCATGTCAAAGAGCCCCAAGAGATGGAAGCACATTATTCAGCCAACGCACAGTGGGGATGTTTCCGATCTAGCGCCTCTTAATTCAAAAAATCTTTTTTGGATTTTTGTTTATTTTTTGTGTCAGTAGGGCTAAGAAATGTCTGAATTTTTCATATAGGTATGGCATTGTTTTATCTGTATGTCCACAGCAAAACTAGGAAAAATGCGCCCAAAGTTCACACTCATGCGTGATTACTCAATGGGCTCAGCAAGGCCCGAAAGTATAGCTCAATTTCATTGTCCTGTCCTGTTGGTTTTAATCTTGCGAGGTCTTAAAGTTGCATATCGTCTGAAAGGCACCTTTATTAGGAATGGAATGGCAAACAGAAAGTATGCCACAACCTTACTAAGGTCACAAAAATGCCCTTTACAAAAAACCCTTACAGACACCATATTGAAGGAATGGTATTCTAAATAAATGTAGGAAATCAACAATGTTCTTCACACTTTTCCACTCCGAAATATATCCTATCGAATTCGCCACTTTCTCCTGCACAAGACAACGCCTAGTTTGGCTGCCGAAACTTGCCTGAACACGGAATATTCACATTAGAGTATCTTAACACCCCACTCGAGGAGCGCTTGGGCAAACAGCACGATATAGGTATGTTCCGGACATAGGCGAATAATTTTACTTCGTGATTTATATGATGCATATTTTCTGAGACACATTCATTAGGAATAGGATGACAAGCGTAAATTATACATACCGTAACCTTATTAACCATCGCAATTGTGGGGAGGGGGAGGGAGAAGGGGTCGGATAAAACCCCATGGTTTTCAGCAAATTACTCGCGCAAAAAGCGGCCGATCACGCCGAAACTTTCGGTGCCCTCGAGATCATCAATTTTACATCTAACCTAAAAATTTCATGACTCTGACCCAACTGACCTTTGACCTGTGGCATATTTCTCGAGACCATGTTTGGCCGGAATCGCGATTCGGCGTATGCCAGCTCACATTATCAGCGGTTTCCAGTCTTTTTGTGGTTTTAAACGTTCAAATATGTGAAATGATGTTGGTGCCATGCATAATGGTGGGTGTCAAGGTCACGTGAAGGTCAAGTCAAGGTCATTGACCTTTTGATGACCTTGGTTCACGTTTTCGAGTTTTACTTGTTTCTAGGGTAGTTTTTGGTGCTGATTTCGATTTTAACAGCCATTTGAATATTTAAGAAGTACTTCTGGTGCCTTCGTTCCATGTTACGAAGCTATCAGTAGTAGGTGACACTTCTATGGATGGCCGGCAGGACGCCTACTAGTTGATCTAAACTGACCTGACCCGACCTGGCCTAAATGCATAAAGACATCGTCTGTGATCAAAACTAACATGAAATTCGTGATCAGCACCCCAAAATACCCCGTAACACTCTAACTTTGCGAAGTTTCAAGAGGTCTCGATTTCCCAACTTTAGTTGGGTCATTAAACTGACTTGGAAAGTCAGCTTATGACCTTGGACTTTGAAATTGGATATATTCGGCCTCATTTCGTCATAGGCAGCCTGCTTGACTTTTCCGCGAAGCTCTAGCTTGATCAGGGGCCAAACGGCTGAGCGGGGGGTCCAATTGAACCCCCTATACTATGTTGATTATGCACATTTACAGGTAAAATTCTCACCAGGACACACCAGCCAACATCTGTGCACAATCTGGCTACAATTCTACCTATGGTTTGCCTTCTACGAATAAATACGTGCTAGATCGGAAAAATCCCCACTGTGCAACGGTACCGTTTTATCATAGGGCAGAACGCTATCGCAAGGCATCTGCGTTGCGCATGCAATAATGTGAATAAGTCGGTTAGGAATAAAAGGTCAAATATCATTTTTTAAACCATGTTGATTTTAGAAAAAAACTGAGTTTTCTAAGATTTTTTTCCTTCGCTAGAGCTCTTGTCATTCGCAAAAGAATAGCCGTATGGACAGCATTTCTAACCAATTTAAGCACTATCAGATGTCATTAGAAGTGGCAGTAGCGCTTAGCAATTCGTTGTGTTAGTGGTAAGGGTTGCACGCCAGAACTACGGCACCTTCAAGTCCCCTGAAGCCCCATTTCAAATGAAGGAAGGGTCTAGTCTAGCTAATGCAACACTTTCGTCACCCAGTTACGTTCATTATTCACATTTGAGTTCATAAACGGCGCAATGCGGCCATGATTCTTCATTTCTTCCTTCGTTGTTGCACTTGCACTAATTGCACTAAACTTGACACGTAAACGCGGACACGTAATTCCTGTATTCTGATTTCAGTGGTTGATTATGAAGGACGGGACAGGGGCAGTCACCGTCTGAAGTGATAAGAACTGCATGCTATCGCCCAGTATGTTCGAATTGCACGTCTACCCTGGCTGGTCAGTGGAACATGGTGGAACTGATGTGTCAGTTCAGAGCGAGAACTGAAACCTCAGCCCGCACCGGAACTGAACTCGGTCCGCACCGGAACTGACAACAATCACACCATGAATTCCGGGACAGGGGGGAACTCCGGCGGGGAACTCAGGGAGTCCCCGTCAGTCGTCTGCACATGCATTCTCCGTCACCCGTAACCCATTCACATTTTCAACGACGGAGATTTTTAACGACCATGTATCAAAACTTTTCTCTGATTTGCAATCAATTGCACATTTGTATTACCATATCGTCAGGTAATGACTTGTCATGGTTTTATGAAACCGTTGATAAATACACTTAGGCTGCTGTTTGAAGGGCCATAAGCAACATCGACATACCCCCTCCCACCCACACAAATGCTGTCTGCTAGGTTCGCTCACGCTGCAACTTGCACACATACAGCGAAGGATCGCTTGTACTCACGTGTAGAGCGAAGGGTCGTAGGGGCTGTAGCTGTAGCCGGCCGCGGTGGGTCCGATGCCTCCGTACACCCCCATATCACCCGTACCCGACTCCTTCAGGCCGTACGGATTACCAGGCTGGGGAAAAAGAGAAAGTGGTAAGTTATCCGGCTGGGGAGAACAGCTAGTGGTAAGATACCAGGCTGAGAGACAAAAGAGGAACAGTCAGTGGTAAGTTACCAGGCGGGTTACCAGGGTCAGTATCAGGATAAGGATGCGGCATAGTAGAGAGGGAGAGAGAGGAGAGAGAGAGGAGAGAGAGAGGAGAGAGAGAGTAAGAGAGAGAGAGAGAGAGAGAGAGAGAGAGAGAGAGAGAGAGAGAGAGAGAGAGAGAGAGAGAGAGAGAGAGAGAGAGAGAGAGAGAGAGAGAGAGAGAGAGAGAGAGAGAGAGAGAGAGAGAGAGAGAGAGAGAGAGAGAGAGAGAGAGAGAGAGAGAGAGAGAGAGAGAGAGAGAGAGAGAGAGAGAGATCAACCGTCACACAACTAAGATTTGAAATAACGGGCTCCGAACACTAACGCAGCGAAGTCCATTGTTCAATAACGGAAACAGCCACGATGACAGGCACTATCAGCTTACACACTACCCACAGCCTGCACGATCATCGAACGGTGAACGGGAGCCGAGTCAGCCGACAGCCCCATATACCCACTGACCGGTCTGCAGCAGCTGACACACCTATCCGTGCTTCTATCCTCAGGATACTGAAATCCTTCTCCTCCACGCCACAACCCCCATCCGGGCTGGACAGGCAACTTTATCTCATGCGGGCTGCTCCCTTGGAGCGGCACCGCTGCTCCCGAGGGAGCTGCACCCCGTAGCCGGGTGCAGAGAGTGCTTGGGGGGCTGGTCGGCCTGTCCTATGGACGGGCTCAGCCCCGGCGACTCTCTAGGATGCCTGCCCAGACCAATGTCTCCCCCTAATTCCTATCATCCTTCCGGCTCTGCAATGGTCTTGTCGACCGAAAGGGCCTAACCCAACAAAACAAAAAAAAAAAAAAAAGCAGCAGCTGAACTCACGGTAAGCACCGGTGAGGGCTACCGACCCGATGCAGTCGTGATCTAAAGTGCCCCGGCGAATTTAGCCTGAACATCGGCGTGACCGCTGCAATGGCTAATGACATCATGCAGTGGTTATGTTACAAGCTTTGCATAAAAGAAGCCAGATTCCCAGTGAAAACTGACATCAAAGTAGTGTACATACTGTCTAATAGAACAAGCAATAATAGCTCGGTACATCTGCTTTACAAACGTAATCGGCAGCATTATTAGGAGAATATCTCGTTCTTTTATCACATCCAACGCTCGATGGTTTGTATCATCATGCTGATATCTGAATTCAATACCGCCTTTACGAGCCCATCCCATCCGATTACCATCTCGCGCCGGCATGAGACAGGCCGGCCAAACAGATCGACTTCGTTTGGCCAACATGCCGTCGACGGACCAGTGGACGGATCCCAGAGCCCCTCTGCGCGCGACCGCGACGGCAGCGTCTCCATGACATCATCCGGTCCGCCCGCGCCGCCTGCACACTGCATAAGCAATATCCACATTTAGGAGGTACACACTAATGCGTCTGCACTTAGCGGCGGGCGGCGACGGGCGGCGGCGGCGCTCTGCGGCGCTCTGCGGCAGTCGCGGCGCTCTGCGGCGCTCGCAGCGCACTTAGTCCCGCCGCTCAGCGGGTCCGGCTGATTTTTATGCGAGCGTCGGCTCCGCTTTGATGTGGCTCTCGGCGGCACGCCGGCGCCGGTCGAGCCGCCGATCCACAGTCGACGACTAAGTGGCGCCATCAACAGTCCACGCTATTTATCTCCAGTTTAGCAGAGACGACGCTCCCCGGCGAGAGGACAGCGGGAGAGGCGCGATCGGTCCACGGCCGACGCCCGCGCTCCGCCGGCGACTGCCGAGGAGTTTTTGTCCACTCGGTGACGGCCACACCGGTCACCTCGTAATTGGCCTGATCCCAGGCCGATCAGTGACGCCATTAATGGACCATTACCATTAGTTTTATTCGCATTCTGCCAATAGCGGGGCGGCGGCGGCTCGCGGCCGACGCGGGGGGTCGAGTGGCCGCCGCTGCCGTCAGCGACCGTGACTGACCATTGTTTCCGCCTATTTGGCCAATTCCGCGCGTTTTATCGAGTCTGTGCCGGCTGCATGGTAAGAGGAGGGTATAAATCACCGCCGGGCAGCCGCTGACGGTAGGGAAGAGACTGACTGACGGACTGACTCAACTGCGGACAGAGGGACAGACGGAACGCGGATGAACCAGCACGATGGGATAGGCAGGCGGCACAGCTAAGAGCCAGCGCAGTGGGCAGAAGGCACAGTTAGAAGCACACCAGACCAGAACGGTGGGACAGGTGGTGGCACACTGACAGACCAGCACGGCGTAGTTTGACGGCACACGGCCAGCGAGGCTCCAGGGGTGGTTGAGCAAGAGCACGGTAATATATCTAATCGATTATCGATAGTAACAACGAACATCAATTCGAGAGAATTGTCTGCTTCCTCATGATTAGAAAATGGAAATCAGATGGATTAGTAACCTTTTGCTCATAACTAATGTAGGCCAAAAACAAATCCAAAATATATTTTCGGTGCTGGACCTTCTTCAGTGGAATGACAAAAACACGAAAGAGTGACACATTTTAAATCATGATAAGTAAGTACGCACTCGCAACGCTAATAAAGCTACTTCCGAGAAAACGCATCACATTCATATGAAACATCTAGATTTTTGAAGGCATCAAACATAAGACATTAGATACTGGAAAACTTTGGACCGCATAATATCAAATCGCTATGATATATGGTACATACATATGTATCACGTACAGGTCTAAATGAGCGATATCAGTATGTAGCAGACACACGGTACCTAACAAGTAAAGATCATTCACATACGTTAGCATCAAACACTTCGTAAATGGTGTGTAGTGCATACAAAATACAGACACGTACTCTTCAATGGGCCTAACATAAAGAGTGGGCCCTGTGTGTGTGTTCAAGTGTAAATAAATATGTTCAAGTTCATGCCTGTTTGCGCAACTGAATGTGTTTGTGTGTGTGTGGGGGGGGGGGTGCAAGTTTATAGGTGGGTGTGGGTGTGGGTGTGTATGTGTGTGAAGGTGGCATTTACTATGTACTCATAGTTCAGAGTAGGGCACAGGTTTGATCAGTGTCCAAGATGATGTCATAATGTTGAGCGCCGGTTTGCGATTGCGAATTTCTAAGGATTCAGTGATTTTTAGCTCTGCCATGTCTTTGCAGACCTGGAGAATCGAAATGGAAAGGGTGCCTTCCGTCACTTGAACGTTTGGGTGCGCTCGGGTGAAATGCTCTCCAAATGGTGTGTTTTTAGTTTTGTTTTTTGCATCTCGGAGATGTTCGTTAAATCGAAGTCTCACACTACGCTTGCTTTCCCCGATGCTTTTCCCCGATTTCCCCTACGCACAACTTCTGAGAGCTAAGCGCTTGGGAAGCTCCGTCGCAGCTCAAGAAAGGGGAATGAACAAAATCGAAGCCCTATTCATGTCAAACGGTTATCCTACTAAGCTGATAAGAAAGACAAAATTCACAGTCAAAACTCGTAACCGTAGGAAAGAAGATCAGGGACATCAACAACCCTCTGCCAAAAGTGACACTACCTACATAAGTCTCCCCTATGTTGATGACAGTCTGTCAAACAAAATTAACAGCATAGTTAAGCGCTCAAAACTCCCGGTGCGCATAGCTTGGAAAAGCGGCCCAACCCTGGCTGAAAAGTTGACGAACTCAGCCCTGGAGAGCCCACCATGCCCATCAGGCAACAAAAAGTGTCAATGCTGTATGTCAGGAGTAAAGGGAAAATGTCACACTAGGAACGCTGTGTACATGGTAACATGCCTACTGTGTAACACAGAGACTTTCTACATCGGGGAAAGCAAGCGTAGTGTGAGACTTCGATTTAACGAACATCTCCGAGATGCAAAAAACAAAACTAAAAACACACCATTTGGAGAGCATTTCACCCGAGCGCACCCAAACGTTCAAGTGACGGAAGGCGCCCTTTCCATTTCGATTCTCCAGGTCTGCAAAGACATGGCAGAGCTAAAAATCACTGAATCCTTAGAAATTCGCAATCGCAAACCGGCGCTCAACATTATGACATCATCTTGGACACTGATCAAACCTGTGCCCTACTCTGAACTATGAGTACATAGTAAATGCCACCTTCACACACATACACACCCACACCCACACCCACCAATAAACTTGCACCCCCCCCCCACACACACACAAACACATTCAGTTGCGCAAACAGGCATGAACTTGAACATATTTATTTACACTTGAACACACACACAGGGCCCACTCTTTATGTTAGGCCCATTGAAGAGTACGTGTCTGTATTTTGTATGCACTACACACCATTTACGAAGTGTTTGATGCTAACGTATGTGAATGATCTTTACTTGTTAGGTACCGTGTGTCTGCTACATACTGATATCGCTCATTTAGACCTGTACGTGATACATATGTATGTACCATATATCATAGCGATTTGATATTATGCGGTCCAAAGTTTTCCAGTATCTAATGTCTTATGTTTGATGCCTTCAAAAATCTAGATGTTTCATATGAATGTGATGCGTTTTCTCGGAAGTAGCTTTATTAGCGTTGCGAGTGCGTACTTACTTATCATGATTTAAAATGTGTCACTCTTTCGTGTTTTTGTCATTCCACTGAAGAAGGTCCAGCACCGAAAATATATTTTGGATTTGTTTTTGGCCTACATTAGTTATGAGCAAAAGGTTACTAATCCATCTGATTTCCATTATAATCATAATCATGCTCAAAAAAACGTTTCATACTATTCAATGATTAGAAAAGGTCAATTCAAGGGATTAATCATCCATACTTGACTAGGACAGAGCTAAACTGTGACCTGTGTTTACTGTCTAGCGCATGCATCGTGATTCCGGTAAATGAAACGCGACATTTAACTATTGCAGTGGATTTAAATGCAGGCGTCGGGTGGATTGGATTCTATTTCTGTCCTAAGTTAATTCGTTAGGAAGGGAAGGCATCC